CATACAGTGTTAAAAACCTACCCTTCTTAAACCAAGCTAACGAGGACAGGGGTTGAAAAGACGGCTTCTAACAACTGTGGTCTTCTGTTCTGAATTTTCACTCAAACGTACGTAAATAGGGTAGCGTGACCCCGTCAAAAATTGACGGGAATGGATAATTTTGAGCTGGACAGTAGTACAACTTATTACAACAGTATCTTTGCAATTCGCATTCAAAGTACAAGATTTATAACATTTATTTTTAAGTAAATCAAATGAGAAAAATTATTCACGGCGACTGAAGACGCACAAACAGAGAACCGACCTCATGGGTGGCTGGATAAAACCACGAAGAACCTCAGAAACATTGCGGCAACGCCAATATGCCGTCTAAAAGTTAAAATTCATTTGTTTTTAATTTTACACGGGGGAGAAGACAACATATAAATTACAGTGGGATTAACCGACCATCCTTTTCAGTGGCTGAATAGAGAAAATCGCCCTGATGACGGAGGCAGCAAGGACCTCCGAAACGTTGGTGGACATCTACCAGACTACACGGCGCAACAACCCAGAAGACATCCATAAAGTAAAATATAAATGTAAAATAAATAAAAATTACGTGGCATTTTTAGACTACGTTGATGTGACAACCGAAAGGTTCAACAGTTGTAGAAGGGGGGGGGGGACAGACGCCGGATTTCTGGGGGTACCTTTTGTTAAATCCGCAGAGACAACGAAAATCAGGCAGTTCCAGAAACGAAGGGAGGTTATTTTGGCAGACCCTGAAGTAGGGTGACCCTTTCCACAAAGGCGTGACGTGAGCTACCATCGTTCCTCCCCTTCCAAACAAAATAACAAATACCAAATAATTGACTGATCTCTTTTTGGTGTGAATGAGAAGAGGTTGAAAGAATTTCCTGGTCGACTTTTCTAATTCTTTTGTAAAGGAATACAGTTGAAATACGATGAACTTGTAAACCGAAATTCTTCACTTCAACCGCGAGGGACAAAAAGCTGTCGGTCGTGTGCCTTCCAAGATTTGGAAGCCAACAACACCTGCTGCCATCTGTTCGCTATTTCCAGAACCATCTACTGTCGGACATTCATCACTACTTTGCCCCCAACAATCAACACCCCAATCAACCCTATTCTTCGACCCCTGAAGCGAGTATCACGCTGAGAAACGCCAATGACACTGCGAATCAGACACATCCCGTTATTTTATTATTCCCCTCGATATTTGCTTTATAACTCCGAGGTCGACTCAAGAATTTAATTCAAGACCTTATAATATAAATATGTTCTGATTATGGCTCCCCTGGGAATGTAACATTCTCGCCACCGAGAAACTGCGTTGTTAACAAATTGTTTCCCTTTAGAATAGAGCTTTCAATTTCAATGTGTAAAATTAGTTTTAAAAAAAAATTAAGGTAGAAGTTCGGCATTGGCGAAGGGACTGTGACTGGCGCTTAGAAAAATGTTGAATTCGAATGCAGTCTCGAGTTTTATAGCCACGATCACAACTAGAAATTGCAAAACTGTTAGCCTGTCCACGTCTGTCCATCTTACCCGTCCATATGTTTGCTAAAATCAGACACCGATAACACAAGCGCTAAGTGACGAACCTAAACGTCTTCCTGAGCGCTCAACCAAGCTACCTTGGTCATCACGGACACCCAGGGAACGACTAGCCAGCCGCGCAACCGCGTGACGAAACAGTCGCCAGGTACACCGCTCATAAATCAAAAGTCGCTAGAAACATTCACCCACGTCAAGAGACAAGTCTTAGCGAATGTACCACAATTATTACGCCATGCATACATTTCCCAACGTCCCCCAATACACCGCGAGACAAGACGGATGAGATTGTAACACACTTAAGATAAATTAAGTGTCCCAATACACCGCGAGACAAGACGGATGGGATTGTTAACACACTTAAGATAAATTAAGTGCTCATACAAAGTTTTCGCCCGAATACCTAACGAGAACGTAGCCTATTTATTACTCAGGATGGGTGGGAGGATAATATTAAAATACGTATCGCAGGGACAGGTCGTGAAGGTGCGGTCTGGAAGTGAGCGGACACCGCGATAAAACCGGGCTTTGCAAACCCCGAGAACTCCTTGGCCAGATTCCCGATTCGAATCCTGGCCCCAACACCACCGACTACACCCAACTAGGTTTTCCTTTATTTTCCCCAGTCCCTCCAGACATTCTTCCACCACGTGTCATCCTCTCTTATCATTCGGCGGTAAATAATCTCTGCAGATGACACAGCTAAGGTAATTTATGATTTGTGACGTCATACGTCCGTCCTCGTCACCTCGTGACCAGAGGTGGATGTCGAATAAGAGGGGGGCAGATCCCCACAGATTATTTGTGGTGTGTAGTTTGTTTCCTGATTACACCACGCGTCAGCCAAACAACAGACCTCGCCAGCTTACCTGGGATTTAGTGGTGAGGTAAAAACGCTAACCATCCCCAGCAGTCACGCAACAAAGACCATCATCCAGGGAGCGTAGTGACAGGCTGAATCAGTTCCGATATGATTAGGTTCGTTTGTCTCTGATCTGTGTGCTAGGTTAGGTAGCCGGGCAGAAAACAGCCGGCCATGTGGACGGGGGAGAAGGTACCTCGACAACCCCGTTTACCGTGTTCATGAGTAATACTGGTTCACTCCCCTTTGTGTCTGTAGAAAGGGTTTTGGGGCCTGGCATTTCACATGCACCGAAATTTCTTTGATAAATAAATGTTCTTCCCCTCCCCCTGGTTTTTCATTTTGACAAATATTTGTGTCGCAGAATCTGGGACTGTACAGAACTACTGAGAAACGGTCACTAAAACTTGTGATCCATTCGACGGTAATTGTTAGTATTCGGGAAGTCCCATTTTTGATTATACAGTCTTGAGACCAGCTATCGTTATTGGGTCTTCCCGCACTTTTACTCAGTCACTCAAGACGTAATTTATTTATTTGTTCTTTATGTACTGAAGAAGTCTTTCTCGTTGCCCAGACTACAGAGGGTCGAGTGGGAGGGTCATAGCAGATAATGAATTGGGAAAGGTTTAAAAGGAAGCGGTCGTGGCCTAACTGAAGTTTATCCCTGCATTTGCCTGCTCGTAGAAATTACTTCCTGCCTTCACAGGACTCATCGACGTGATGATGAAAGCTGTAAACACCTCTGAAGCACTGGCCAGGTTTTACGTTATTACAGCACGCAAGATTCCAGCAATAAGCTGGAAAAAAAAAAGTTTCAGTAACTGACTACGGGCTGGAAGGTTAGGACTCCATTTCCGGGAGTGCCATGGATTTCTTCATCCGATACCATTCCAAGACTGGTTCCAGGGCCCTCCCATGCAATCACAAGTTTCGACGTCGAAAGGCGGTCGGAGCACGTGGCATATCACTCGTCCATCTAGAATGAGTGGAGAGTTTCCTCCATGCCGACATGGGTTTCTTGGTATTGCGTAAAGGCAAAGCATCAGTTTTGTCTATCCAGTAAACATTCAACAGGGAAATTTCTTATTTTCCTTAATCAGTTTCCCACGTTTGCGTCCTTCCAGCGACTAATTTCTCTAGATCCAATTATTCTTTCCGTCATTCTGGCCGAATCTTCCAAGTGCCATGCCCTACATTCTGCCTAACACAACCTGTATGCTTTTTGCGTGCGTTTGTAACACAATTACGTGTTTTGCTATGCGCGTCTCCCGTTCAGACGGTGGATATATGGCAACGCAGCTATGTGTGCATACCCCATGCAGGATCTCGAGTTACCAGGGGCCGATGTGGAGCAGGGGAGGCTGTTAGTGGAATGTAACCCAACACCAGATCCTCATCCCAGCCAGCCGCCCACTACAGCCAGCATGCACGTGATGATGAACCACCTCTCAATTTTGGTTAGCATCATTGCAAGGAACGTGGACTTCCATGCCAGTGAAATTTATTTTACGAGATCAAATTGTAAATAGCATCCAAGTACACATCTCGTGTTTGCAAAGCAATTAATTACCGAAATAACCGTGTAATTAATTAAGTATGTGGCTAACTGCTGGTATCTCACGAACAACAGACATCGTCACAAAGCTCGGGTCAGAAATTCCCCGCGTTTCACAGAACCCGAAGGTTCACAACAGCCCGACACCGGTCCCCATCCTAAGCCAGATGAATCCAGTCCACCGATTACCGTAAGATCCTTTATAATGAGATGGTAAAGTTGCGTCATATTGTGATATAATAAATATATATTATTTAAATCTTGTCCGTAAATAAAGATTCAAATCAATAATAACTTAAATACAATTTCTTAAATACAATTTCTATATATTATTTTAACGTACATTTTTATCAGATGTTTATCAGATATCAAACGATGTTCTTTTCCAGATTCTATTCCATTTTAATAACATATTCGATGTTGTTCTGTATATGTACATCATGCTCAATATGACTTTAGTGTGGGTGAACGTTTTTTTTGTTGTTTTTGTATCAGCCAGAAATGAAAGTTGTAGAGGAGTTACATCTGTCTGGAAGTATTGCCGTGTTTGAACTCTGAAGATAGTTATTTTAGGAACTGAAACATGTCGTGAAAAATGATGGTCTAATGTAAATCGAATATTTCGATAAAGAACATCATTTAATATTTTAAATCTTAATTAATGTAATATTTTAATATTTAATAAAAATTTATTGTGATTAGACGGACAATATTTAAATAATATATATCCTTTATAATGTTATCCTGCGCACGCCAATGTCTTCCGATTATCCTCTTCCCTTCAGGGTTTCCAAACAAAATGTGCATATTCGCCATCTTACAAAAGCATGCAACATGCCCCGACTTCATACTCCATGATTTGATCATCGCAAGAAATATCTCGTAAAGTTTGTAAATTATTAAGCAATTTTCTCTAGCCTCATCTCACTTCATCTTCTTTGGTCCAATTTATGAACGGCCTCCGTCAAAATACGCGTTGCATCTTGTTTTCTAACCATTATTTATATAAGCCTTACTCACCTTAGCTGCGTAGGCGAAGGCGTTGGTTTTTGGCCGGATCGTAGGTTCAAATCCCACTCGAAGAATGGAGTCTGAATTTCTCTGTGTTTTGTTGTATACGAGGGTCCTGAGAACCACAGGTCGTGACAGCGTGAGGGTACATAACCTGCAACACAACAAATCACCAATTTGTTAACACACAGCCGTGTTCGTCTCAACCTGACAAAGTTTCCTTCAAACCCAGACCGAGATAGTACCAAGGCCACGGACGTTTGTTTCCAATTCCTTATTTATTAATCATCACAGCAAATTTTCCTCATACAGTGTTCAGATACAAGTACTGTAGTAATCCTACATAGTTCATTCACGATTGCATTTTGTCATGCGAGCTACCAAAAATAAACACGCCTTTGTTTTTAAAACACTGTTTACTGGTACACACTTCCGAGAATTCTGTTCGATGACGCCAACAGGATAAAATGTAACATACGAAAGCAACACGCGAAAATTACCAGGTCACTGCTGACTTCGCATTAACGGGTTTCGAAAACAAATGACGATTTGCAGGCGTGCCAGATGAAATGTGTGACGATCACATCGACTGCACAACATACCCAAACCTTTCCTTTCGGTGGAAATGTCAACTTTGGGTCTTCTGGATTGTGATGCGGTGTGGTTCTTTACATTTCGGAGGAACGTATTTCCTCCATCTTCAGGGTTCAAGTCACTTACAAGATCAAGACATTCCAGAAGATCACAGTCACTCGGCTTACGTCGCTACGAAGGAAGTGTTTGACTTCTGACTGACGACCTGAATCAGGGCCTCCCCATTTTTTTTTAAACCCCCCCCCCTTGTTAAGATTTCAAACTCATTACACGTAACACAGAATATCAGACAAATGCACTTTTTGTTCTTTGATTTATTAATTTCATTAACGAAGTTCTGAACTGTCGCCATGTTTTTCATATCAAACATTCAAGAGAAAACTTCATACATATTATGGGCCCTTAAATTGAGATCTGTGTAGCAAAGCCTCGTGTATCCGCAACGTCAGACTTTAGCATACACACACCTGAATACACACACAAAACCAGAGAAGGGGCTGTGAACAAACTTTGTTTCGCTCGCTAGTCAGCACGTCAGTCCTCTGCCATCATATCTTATACGGATTCATACAGAAATTAATTAACAACCGCAACTCGGAACAACCGAAACCAGGTAGCGGTGTTCTGAATGCACCCGGTCCCTTCTTCGTGGTTTTGTGGGCTACGAGTCGCTCTTTCCCGTCCAATTCCCTTTCCCCAATTCACTTCTACTATCATAACTTGTCTGTCGAACAAACGCATGTGGAGGCTTCGTGAAATTCTGATTTGCTGACAGGTGACATTAGCTGATAAGATTTGCGATCAATGAAATCCGGTTAACGTAATTTCTCTGCAACTAGACACATCAATTTTAAGTTAATGGTGGGATATTATTTAGATTGGCTGCACTGCCAAAGACATTACTGATGTAATTCCCTTAACTTTTGAAATTTATTCCATTACTTATAGTTGAAGAACAGTTTGTGCGATAAATAACCTTTGACATGCAGGAAGATTCTGTAATTACGAGCCGTTGTTACGATGTTTTAAACTCAAATTGCGGTCTTTGTCTTCAGTAAAATTTGTGATGTGATTTGTAATCAGCTTCTAAATGGAACTGTTAACAGGAGTGGCGAGCTGCCCAGAAACTTTACCTTCGACCTTTGTGAACGACAAGCATTCTCCACCCAGTCCCTTCCGTGCGTCTTCACGTAAAGTGGGCGTCATTTTTGGCCCATCTCAGCCAAAATTTGGTTGTGACGACAAACTGTAGCAAAAGTCATCAGAACCAAAATTTGTCAACATCCGTCCTGCTGTTCTCCGTTTGTTAAATGCGTAAGGACAAACAAGTATTAAATTTAAAACTAACAAGAGTATTTTTGCAGCTTTAATATTTGAACGCGCCTAAGAACGAAAACTTTCCGACTTCGGAAGACGCAGCACCAACTGAGACACACAAAGGAAGAAGGACCCAGCGCCCACAAATCCTTGGCCTCGCATTAAAAACGTCTGAAACTGCAGAGGAACTCCACAGTTTATGTTGTTTCATGTTCCTCTACTTTTAGACACCCCTGCTATAAAATGTTATATCCTATGGACATAAAAACTGCAATCACTAATCGGCCGGTAATCGCTCGCTGCTTCGAGTCAGTTTCTGCGTGGCACACCACAGAACCAACACAGTCAGAAGGTTGTAATTTAGTTCGGCGTTTTAGTGGCAATTTTCTTTGCCTTGGCATTATAAAATAGCTTCTAAGGTAAGAGACCTAAAGCATCAGAACTTCAAAACATCAAACGAATAATTTAAATCAACTTCATTTCCCCTATATAAATAGTACTTTGAGTCTGACAATGAATTAAAAGAAAATTCGATTACTATTACATTGTCAGGAGTCAGAAGGTGTTTATTATTTATTTAGTGTTCTGTCTGACGACAGGTCCATATGAACAGGATCCTTCCATCCTTTTCTCGGACTGGGACCTGTTCATATACGTTCTTGGCAGATGATCCAGAAGTGGTTTGCCATTGCCTTCTTCTGTGTGTGAATGGAGTAATTGTTGGGATGCCACGGAGAAACCGGGGAAGTCCCCGGAGGAAAACTCCGTGTTGACTAGACCACGGCCTTGCCCAACACAAGTTATAAATTCGGGCACCGCCGGGAATCGAACCTGAAACCCCAGGATTAGAAGGCCAGCGTTCTAACCGCTAGACCACCGTGGCATTTGCAAAGTAGGAATTTCATTAAGAACCTGCGATATTCGCGAGCTCACAGCACTGACAAAAGAATCATTCACCAAAATTAGCATACTTCAAGGTCACAACAAAATAGTGTACCGGAGCTCAGGCGAGTGAAGATGGCTCGGAACTCGCATTGTAGGAACGTTCGCAGGTAATTTCACTTCCAATTGACAGTATTTGACACATTTCCATGAAACAGTGTTGATTCAGTCGCTGCTACAACATAAAACAAACTCTTTATTTCACAAATAATATACCGACTGGACAAGACACCGTTCGGAAATCGACGTCAGACGACGAAAATATTTACTAGGTTTTCCCCCCCACCGACCCACGTGTTTTTACTTAAACTCGAAGCGAGTCCCCCTGACATTATTGTTGCATGGTTACTTTTGACTTCATTTCGATACCCGATCCCCGACTCCTGCAACGAAAAATTACCACTTTTAAGAAGGATCATGAATAATTGATTTCTTGATGACAAATGTTTGTGGGTAGGGGCGGTGTTTTGGCCCGAAATTGCGGCTTGATGAGACAGCGATATTTTTGTTATGGATCGATTACATGCGTTTCCTCCCTCCCTCCCTGTAACCTCCACCCTTCCCTTGGTGTACAGTCCACCCGACACTTTGTAAACCCTTACCACGTTTGTGTGGTATGAAATAACTGGATCAGAAACAGGTCTTTCTTCACGAAATATTTCGCGTTTTCAGAAGACAGATTAATTAAATACTCCAACAGTTGTCTTTTCGACTAAAGAAACCACACGTCACCATCGAAATACGGAGTAAATTTTGCATCGTAAGTGTCTGGGTTATGCTACCATCTTCAGGGTACGCATTTCTGCCCTTTTCACGAGGTTTCTACGAGCTATGAGATCAGGCTACAGTTCGTCACAACCCAGAAGACGTCGATCCATGTTTTCATCACCGTCAAAATCTCAAGTCTGATACCACAAAACAGACCTTGCCTATTTATAGGCTGCCTGAACCCAAACGCGACCTTGAGTAAGGCCTACCTGTATTTTTCATAAGTCAGACAACGTTTCTAAAGTTGAGTTTAATTTTTGTCTACAAGGATTTTTGACACGTCAGATTTGCTTCACAATACCCGAATGACGAGAGGAATTCTTTCTAAGAACAAAAGCCAAGGCACTACGCATTTGACCCGCAGAACGTACAAACTCGATTGGTTCTTAGTAACTCGCTAACGCGACGTTTTGTTAGTCACGAAATAACGGCACTTGGTTTTGAAAGTAGTCCAAAATTTCGGCTATCAATGCAGTCCACTGCTCACTCTTCCATCACTAATTGTGTGCATTAAAATTCCCTTTCTCTGTTCGTTTCTCTTCTGTGCTTACGAAATATCGCAACCCTTCTCTCATATCAGCAAGGTTTTATCTATTTTCTAGGAGGAGGTGGGGTGTCTACAGTAATTTCACTCGGTATCAGGAACACAGATCGTGTTAATAGCGTAGCAGTAAACCCAGCACGTATAGCGGGACGGACTGACAGCCCCTGCGGAACACAGCGATTTGTATGCGAGGGATGGAAGCTATGGGATTCCGCTCATCAGTCACTTCGCCCCACCATCCCACTGAGGGCGCGACCTCTGAGCTGGGGGGGCGCCAACCCCCAAGGGGTCTCTGTGTGACTAGTGTTCAAAAATCATAAATTCATGTTCATGATACTCCGAATTAATTACAGAGCTTTTTTTTTTTTTCCCAGGAATTAGGCCTAAATGTAAATTCCATGGGGTTAAGGATGTTACGAAGACTGGAAGACAGCTCAGTCACGAGTTTAATTCTTAGAAAGTTCAAAATGCCACTGAAAATCTGAAGAAAAAAAAGGTATAAATCTCTTGATATCGGTCAATTTCTAACAGAACTGAACTAAATAGCAGGCAAATCACGATATTCTGAGATACACAAATTTGTTAATTCTATGTGGAATAAGGAATAATTACCAGGCCACGGAACGGATCTATTATTGTACCGAATTATAAAAAGGATAAACTAATAAAAATTAGAAATATCACTGTTATGAACTATCCAAAATTCTTCTCTCAAGGACAACTGCTTTTATGAACCCTGTATTAATCATCTCAGTTATCAATTTTTCGATAATTTCGACTATGGAGTTCGTTGGTCAGGACATGCAAATATTTGTGTTGATTATTCATACTTGGTGCAAGTTGTCGGTCGAGGTACTCCGACGTGTGAATCTTTAACGAGGAATTATACAATCTGTATTGATGAAACACTTCATGCGAGCCATATGACCCTGCTTCTGTGGCCCCGGAATCGAGATATGTTAATTTGCGTAGTTCCGATGCACAGTAAC